CAACAGCAGCTGCACTCTTGTCTTTAGTCTGAGTCTTTTTCAACGATCGCCCCATTTGGATTTCACCCAAGAGACCAGCTGGTCGGCCACCTGCTGGTGGAGCAGGAGCGCCTCCCATTGGAGGCATTGGCGGTGGAGGTGGAGCACCCATCCCTGGTGGAGGCGGAGGTGGTGGTGGAGGAGGAGCACCTGGCGCACCGGCTGATGGCATTGGAGGGGGTGGTGGAGCATTGAAGTTAGGGACTGGTGGTGGTGGTGGAGGGGTTGCCGCCGGTGGAGATGCTACAGCAGGAGATTCAGGCGCGGATGTAGCTTCGTTACCCATCGATGACAAGGGACGAGGAGGTGCCATGGTTCCGAAAAGGATTGATGCTAAATGACGCGCGCCACCTGCACCAGGTCCTTCATCGTCAGAGGAATCGTCCTCTTTGTCAGATCCAACAACATCCCAATCATCTTCTTCTGGACGAACGCGAGATGGTCTGTTACCTGTTGGTTGAACTTGAATTGGTGCAGGCGTTGAAAGTTCTTGGGCAGGAAGGCGATGGAATGGATTGTTAGACGCGGTAGATGCGGTGGGTGCGTCACCGGATTGAGCCATTTTCTTCAAGAAAGGATTGCGGGTCTCTGTATCAACTGGAGGACTGACAATAGGGCTAGTTACTTGTGGGGTTGGTGATGGAAGACTAGTTGTTGTTGCAGCAGCAGGGACTGGCGATACAACAACTGGGATTGAAGGCGGAGGAGGTGGTGGAGAAGGTTCTTTGCGCTCAAGTTCTTGACTTCCTTGAGTGGGCGTTGATGCTTGAGGGGTAACTTGCTCCGGACCTTCATCATCATCAGATGAATCTGAATCATCAATAGCTTCCAGTTGACGTTGCAATTCTCGCTCACGTGCTTGGGCGGCTTCAATTTCTGCGCGTTGAGCTGCGAGACGAGCTTCTTGTTGTTTGGTTTCAGCTTGGAGAGCCTTTCTCTTCTTTTTCTCCTCTTCCTTCTTCAATTTTCCGGCCTTCATTTGGTCTTCTAAAGCCTTGATACGAGCCTGAGCCGCCTCGCGTTCCTTTGCAAGCTCAATCTCTTGTCGTTGAGCGTCGTCCCTGTGAGTGTTAGCAGTGTAGAAGATGTCAGATAAAAGATTCGCTTACTCTAGCTCATTTGTGGCAGTAATTTGTGCCTTTTGCTCGTTGATGATTCTTTCCTCTTCGGCCTTGCGTTCACTTGCGTCACTTCTTGCGGCCTTCCTTGAAGGAGGCGGAGGTGGCTTTTTGGCGGTCTCCTTTGGTTGCTCAGGTGCAGGTGGAGGTACACCCTGCTCTTCGGCAATTCTAGCTTGCCTTTCAGCTTCACGTTTAGCGTCTTCCTCTTCTGCTTGTCTGAGTTTCGCTGCACGCTCATTCTTTTCACGCTCTAATCTCTGTTGTGTTGTCTCTCCAGATTTAGATGGTGCTTTGATGCCAAGAGCAGCTAGACGCTCAGCCATGCGCTTCTCGGCCTGCTGCTTAATATAAGCTGCTCTGTCTTCTGGAGTCTTGTATTGTGAGTATGAACCTCCAGCAGGGGCTGGTGTAGATGAGGGCTGCGACGATGGAGTTTCGCTACGAGCCGCTGGAGCAGGGCTAGCATGAGACGCTTCAGTACGAGGAGCCTCCCTGCTGCGATCATCTGTTCGAACTCTGGCACTTCTGCTGCTTCTTTGCAAATCGAAAATGAAGTCCTTGACTTCATCCTCAACACCTAGCCCATCCTCCCAACGTCTCTTCTCATGCTCACTGGACGAGCTCTCACCACCATCTTTGAGACTATCCTCCAGGCCTCGTGAAAAATCGCGGACACTTTCTTCGACATCTTGAACCATACGCTCATTATTTTCCTTCTCAGTTCTGATCTTGAGATTTTCCTCCTCGAGGCGTTTCGGCGCATCCAAGTCATCATTGCTCGTCTCGATCTTCTTACCGGTGAGAGCAGCAGAACGTTGTTGCATCATGGCCTTAGCTCTTGCTTTGAGTCTATCTGATTCGGTGATAGCGCCGCCAGGACCGGTTCCAACGATGCTAGAGGCACTTCCAGGGTGAGCTTTAGCATCCTTTAGACGGAAGAGTTCAAGCTTGGCATCGGCAATACTTCTTTCCGTTCGTCGGACACGCGAAGCAATATCTGGAAGCTTATCCGTCAATGTTTGCAATTGTCTTTTCAAAGCACGACGCTCGGCGCCGGAATCAACGTTACGCAACGATGCATCTGGATGAGCATCAATATCCTCTTGAATACGACGAATGCGGCGATAAAGATCCTCAGCTTCACGGCGATCTTTACGATCAAGGGCATCATCTTCATCTGCAGCATTTTCGGCCTTGAAATCGATTGCATCTAGTATCACTTGTCTCTCCGCGATTTTCTTTCTAAGCTGTTCAAGAGAAAGTTCATCATTAGAAGTTGTTGATCCCGGAGACGAAGGTCGTGGAGAAGAGGCTCCGAGTCTGCGACGAGCACTAGATTTATATCCAACATCATCGTCGTTGTTTTTATATACTGTGGCATCTTTACGGCCTGTGCGACCTGGAACAGCGTCACCACGGAAAGAATGGTTTTTGAGGTAGCTCACTCCAGTCTTTTGTGGCAAAAGAGTAGCACCAGAGTTCTTGCGGAAATTGGATTCTTGGTGAAGTAAAGATTTGACAGCCCCAATCGAATCATTGAAGTTACGAGTGGAAGGGGGTATAAGCGCCGGAGGTAGTTGGGCTGGCAGAGGATATCCATTGAGCTTTCGATAAATCAAATGCATAGCAACCGCAAATTCATCCATATTAAGCTTTCCTTTGTTGCCGTGATCTGCCAAGGTCCATACGCGCTCCAGGTCGGGCTTCTCGAGACCACTCTGCCCAAAAATTTCAATAGCGACATCACCGCTAATAAATCCTTTACCAAACCCATCCCAAGCTTTGAAAACTGAATCGTATCTGGTCTTCTCTTCTTTCGTAATTCCCCATGGAATTTCAGCATTGCCTGTTATACCGGCTGTAGTAAAATTGCCTTGTTCTCGACCTTGTTGTGGCATCATCCGGGAATGTAATAGATCGATATTGGGGGCTGGCGCATTTACCAAACCCCATTGGCCATCGACACCTGTAGGCTGGCTATTCAATGGCGCGATCATTCCGCCTTGCATGCCCGTCTGAGCGGGAGACAAATGAGAACTATAGTTAGATGGCATAGGAGGCATCGGAGGGCGCGGTCCATTGTACCCCGTTGCTTGAGGATTTGACATTTGATTGTACCCGGTTTGCTGAGGCTGCAATCCTCCTTGCTGTCCAGGAAAGCCAGTTTGCATTGAACCTTGGAAACCTGTTTGCTGCGGTTGAAATCCACCCGAAAAGTTATTCTGCTGTCCAGGGTAACCAGTCATTTGCGCAGTGAGAAGTGCGGAGTTAGACGCCATTGGCTGTGGCTGTTGGATAGTCGGAGGTGTTGCGGTGTTTTGTCGGCCATCAAAACTGGGCGCATTCGTTGCCGCTGGTGCATCATCGTCTATAGCGAAATTTATGATATCCACCATGCTAGAAACTTCGTTTTTGATGACATCGGGAAGCACGGATGGTAATTGCTTGCCGACTAGCTTGAGATTACAGAGGTACATAGCTAATGCGAATTCGGGAAAATGTAGCTGTCCAGATCTTGTAGTGTCTGCGAGCGTCCTATAATAATCATAAGCACAATATTATATCCATTGAATAGTTTGATTCTTACCATATCTGCGACAGAGAGTTCCCGTCTAGTTTTGAGCGTAGTAAAAGATCCCTTGATTTCTCTCCAGAAAGTGTTTGCCCATCCCCAACAGCGGACTTGAAAAGAGTTTCGAACTTTGCTTGATCTTGGGCTGTGATAAAGGAAAGTCTTATACTAGGTATCTTTGCTCCCCCTTTAGAGGCTCTGCGTCCTCTTGGCTTTGATGGTTCTGCAGCCGCAGGTTTAAATGAATCTGCCATCGCGGCAAATCCGGTCGCTTGTGGTTGCTGCACAGGAGGTGCAGGGGGTGGTTGAGCTTGTTGAGTCTGTTGAGGCTGCTGGAATTGCTGCGGAATCTGCGGCATTGGAGGAGCTCCCGTTTGGAAGTTCTGCTGTTGGGGAGCATTGCTGAACTGCTGCTGTTGCTGCTGGCCTCCGGGGAAGCCTGCTTGGGATTGCTGAGGATATCCCGTAGGCTGTGCTTGAAGTGGATAACCTGTGAAATTGGGTTGTAAAGGAGCCGCATTTCCATATCCAGTGGGTTGAGGTTGAAAACCAGTCTGTTGTGGCTGGAAACCAGTCTGCTGTGGTTGGAAACCTTGGTTTGGCTGGAAACCACCATATTGTTGTTGCGGTTGTTGTGGTGGCTGGCGGCCAGTGTTACCACCAAGGTACGAGTTCGAACCCGAAAACATTATGAGTATGAACAAAAAAGAAATAGGTATGAAGAAAGATAGATTTGTGACATTTATTTGAAGGAATGGGTTCGAGGTTGGTGGAAGATACCACGGTCCGGGGGTCGAAATGACGAAGCTCAGGTAATCTGTTACCATAGAGGCTGGGCTTAGCGACCTCTAATATACAAATACATACAACCCAAGTTTCACCGATTTTGCGACAAAATGTTAAAGGGGCTGAATAAATGTGTATCGTATCATCATTCAACATTGATGTTTCAACGTCAATTGAAGTCACTAATTGGAGATGTTTGTGTGTTTGAATCACTTTTAATCATTTTGGTGCGAAAAATCATTGATTGAAGCTACATGTATTCAGGTACACAAGTACTTGCATCACCTAGATTATACCACAAGCTCGAAGTTTTTCTACATGAGGTCTGGCTCTTCATCCCCTTTTGACATATAGCCACGAATACAGTCACACATCTAGCTCTGTGTATTCCCATCGAGAAATATATAGATACTTGAATATCTTAATTAGGCTCTCAAAACCCTATTACCGATTGTAATATGTTCATACATTCATTCAATCATTTATGCGCTGGCGACATCTTCACCACCTGCCGCTTTCCTGGATCGGTATGCCTGAACATCGGCTTTGGCGGCAGCTAGTGCGCCAGACAATCCGAATTGTGTTGCAATTCCCTCAATACGGTGGACAGAGTTGAGATTCTTTACCAAGGTAATTTGGTAACAGGTGGCAGATCCTTGACGGGAGATAATAGTAGAGGAAGCGAGGAAGTATTCCCAAATCTGTTATTGTCAGTATGTGCGACCATTTGTGCAATCATGATGAAGACTTACTCTAAACCATCTGTTACCGTATTTAGCGACAACCTTCTCCTTGTTGGCCATCCAGTTTCTGTACCATCTCCACAATGTTGCTGAGTAGTGAACACCAATAGTATCGACACCCTTAACCTCGAATCCAGCGCTTTCGAGAGAGTTGATATAGTTGTTGAGAGGAGTAGAAGCGTCAGCACCAGGGAAGATATATCTGTTCATGAAAAGACCCCAGATGAGATCCTCGTATTGCCAAGTCTTTCTCAAACCAGCTACTTGAAGAAACATGACTCCGTCGTCCTCGAGCATATCGTGGCATTGCTTCAAGAAGCTTGTCAAGTGACGGATACCAACGTGCTCAGCCATCTCGAGACATGTAATCTTGTCATAACCTCCCTCAGGAACTGGAATGTCACGGTAATCCATGCACAAAATCTTACTTTGTTCTTCAGGAATACCAGCTTTGCGAAGTCCATTGTTACCCCAGGCAGTTTGGTTACGGCCAAGAGTGATACCAGTAGCCTTTGCACCGAAGTTAACACTGGCGAATTTGGCCAAGGTACCCCATCCACAACCAATGTCTAACATCTTCTCACCAGGCTTAAGACCAATCTTTTCACAGACAATGGCGAGTTTGTTATCCTGCAATTCCTCCAGAGTTTCTTCACGGTTAATGTCAGAGATAACACCGGAGGTATAGATCATTCGTGGACCAAGGAACCAGCCATAGAAGTCGTCACCCCGGTCATAGTGATCACGGACTTGTTCCTCATCTGTGACATCGTTAGTAGTTTTCATATAAAGGAAGGTCTTCTGCCACTTACCCTGGGAGCGAGTGTGCATGATAACTTCTGGTGCGAAGTTGAAGAAGACATATTTGAAAAGACTAATTGTGAATTTGAAGCTTGCCCAGTCGTGACGGTACTCGAGAACCTCGAGGGCGTCACCGTTGAAGTCAACTTCTCCATCGAAGTACATGTTGTGGAAAGTTTCCATAGGAATCTTGTTCTTTCCGCTGTATTTTATTTTATCGGCTTCGTTTTTAAAGGTAAGATAATGCTCAACTGGACGTCCTGGGTACTTGGCCTTCTCATTTTTGCGTGGAGAGAAGCTGGAGAACACTGTCCAGAATGCGAGGAGAATGGGAATAGTGGTGATGAGACCAAAGAAGATGGTGGTCTTGAATCCACCACCAACCTTCCAGGAGAAGTATAGAGGGACACCACCAATGAGGGAGAAAAGGAGGGTGTTTGAGAAACTATCATTGCCAGAAGCATCTGCAGGCAGAGGAGCATTCTTGATAGCAGGGTACTAATTGCCATGATATGTTAGATTCAATTGACCATCTTGTTTACTCAAAATCTAAGTTGACAGATATGGGGAAATTCTGGAATTTTCTTCATTAACTTACGGCTGTTGTCCTTACACCACATGGCTCGAACTTTTCAAAGGTCGGTGTGGGAGCTTTTGGGGTTTCGATGAACTCGAATTCGCTCTCAGAGCCATTGGTACTCTGAGGATTGGAAGTCATCTTTCCTTTCGACTTTCCTTCAGTATAAAGAAAAGAGAAAGAGAAAATGTTTTTACAATTGAGTTTCACCAGGTATGAAGGTGACAACTAAGATACAGCAAAGTTACGTTTACCGGTACCTTAGCGTGTTGAGTTTGAGAGACGCTAGTGGAGGGGCACTAGTCTGGATTGGAGGGTCAGCAATGCGCACGGATCACTTTTGGCCAGATCGTCGGGGCGTTTTTTCTTCTTCTGCCGATGTTTCATTTAAATAGGGGAAATGGTGAGTTGAGGAGGTACGTACCGGTGAGTAGGTACCAGGTAGGTAGGAAGATAGGACAACCCTTAATTCAACCAAAATTGATCCAATTATTCGTTCACTCCATAAGTTTGATGGAATGTTATTGGTAACAAGTGTTTATATATCCAAACGAGTTTGATGAAATATATCAACGGTTTTGAATACTGTATAATCATTGAGTCGTGCCACCACACCACTCATTCATTAAACAACTATGGCTTCATGGAGAGTGAAATTCACGATGTGCAATATCATCCTGACCTTGATGCCAATGGATGGGCTGGAGTACACCTACCGACCTAGGTAGATTGGCGGATATAATTGAGCATAGAGTATACACCCTGATATTTACCATGCATATATGAGTTGTAAGTGTACGGATTTGATTCACTGATTGACACGTTCATGTCAATCCTTAACCTATAAGGTTTATTGTCGATCTTTGCGTTTCTTTGGAAACATGCAAACATGAAAATATCCAAATAACCAAACAAGGAAGTCAATCATATTACCTATACTTTACAACCACAAATAGGGAGCTACATTCGTTATTCCAACCATACATTCTCTTCTCCCGCTTGAAATACCTCAAAAACTTAGCGAGAAAAAGAGAAGATCCATCACGGCACCCATCCCAGCTCAACTCCGAGATGATATTAAGACCCATTTGGAGAAGATCATAGAGTATATCCATCCTTCCCGAACGTTCTTTTGCCAATGCTGACCCATGCATAGAGAATTAGAAGCACATCCCTCCTGGAGCTCGCACAACCCAAACCCAAGTCTCTTCTTTCTCTGGGATTTTGTAAGGCGTGGTGACTACATGCTTCTCGAATACGACAACATTCTAAATGGACGTCTTCTCCAACATGCCGATCAATTTCGCACAGGACCACCAGGTATGTATATTTTCCCCTCTGTTTGGCGCATTTTATAGGGGTTACAATAGTCCAGATCGTAGCCAGACATTTGATATATCATATCTAGAGGCTTTCAATTTCTAAACCCCGTTTCGTAATTAAAACAATTGTTAAGCCTTGGATTGTTGGGATAATTTCGTGGCCAAAGGTTCCTCGAGTATTACCATTCCACTGACACTCACAATAGGCACAGGTGAAAATGCTGCATTGAAAGTATTTCAAGAAGTTTGTGCACGAACCCTGATGCTGAATATGATTGTCACCAACACAACCGGTCGAATGGCAATGATGATGGGGAGCGCTGGTCCCTCAGTCGATTATGGCGATAATGTTAGGCAAGCAGTTAGAGAGTTAGAGGCTGTTGTTCCAAAGGAACATATGATGGCTGGTATGGTCAACTGAGACTGTGAGGATAATTTTGAGAGAAGGGGGGGAGCTCTAATTTTTCGGTAAAGTTTTTTATTTCAATTCAAATGACAGACTCTTAATGCTCCACTTTGATTTGAATCTTCAAGAAAACGGGATTTTCGCAATTTTATAGGCTGGGGCATCTGGCATTCAATCAGAATCGGGGTCAGACTGACCCCGACTTATTATCATCTCTCATGCAAGGTAACCGTCTTTCCAATGTTGAAATGGTATCAACCTCACTGTATTTCCCCTGATTTGTGTCTTCAGCGGGATTTCTTGTCAACACATTGAACATGGGAATCATTTTTCTCTCTTTTACTTGCAATTATCCACACACAATGTCGTAGAAAGCTTGTTTATTTCTAGTCTGGGCATGCGTGGAATCCAGCACAATAAGTTATACAGATTTGGGTCTCGGCTTCGTTTCTGTCGAATTATCTGTGGAACACTGACTACATCAATGATGAAAACACTTCAATTTAGAGCTGCTTCACATCCTGGGGGTAGAGTATAGGCAGATTTTCTAAAAACTGACAAAAGTGTGTCTCATCTGCAATCAAGCTCGCTATGTAGGTAGATTGTTTATGCATCACCATATCATTCTCCCTGTTTGTCAATCTACCTTCTGGAGTTGCTAGTATTGACAAGATATAACGCAGAAACTGCATGTTAGCTCCGTTGATAGATTGTTCGTAATAGATACATTTCCACTTCCCGCGCCTCAATGTTCTTTCCAAACTCTCCTGCAAATATGGCAGGTCTGATGTCAGAGACTTGACTTGTACTTACTACTTTGAAGCTTGGATCTAGAAGCACAGTTTCTGCCCACTCCAAGAGTATAATCGGTGTAGAGTTCAACATCTTTAACTATCTCAAGGGTAGGTCGCGCAGCAGGTTTGCTATCCAAGTGGGAAACTCAACTGTAGTTATCACTCGTTTAGCATCGGCGTTCTCGTGCGAAGTATCTGATATTATTTCGATACTTGTAGTCTGAGGTGTATCACCTCGATCTGCATTGACAGCTGTACTTGCTCGGCTCCTTAGTATAGCAGAGATTGGTGATGAGAGCGAAGAAGCATGGTCCGAATTGATTTGGAAGGCCATATTCGAGCGGGTTTCTACACATCTCGAATGTTATCAAAGTCGAAAAAATACTTCTACGTTTCTCCTGCAACTAAACGATATCTCCATGATGACCAGATGCTTCTTGAATACACAAAATTCTACACTATAGCTAGCGCAACCCCCAGATCACAAGCCAAACTTGAATGTCCAATTCATATTTCAGGTAACAGAAGTGTCATTTATCTACTATTCAGAGACATATTGAATACTCAACTCACTCACCACTAGCCTATGTCTACTCTTTCCTAAAGAAGGAGAAGGAGGAGAAGGATGCATTCAATATAGAATTTTCGACGGTTCATAGAATAACAAGTATAGGTTGAGTATAGTACTAATTTAAGAACGGCACACGGCGGGAGGGAGAAGGTTACGGTTCTGGACGTTTGAACTTACACACATATTCTGATCGACACCAATACTATATGCGAATTTTAGAGAATCAATTTAAGTCTGTACATCTGACACTTGACAATCCATTTAGCTGTGAAGATTAAATTCTGGCCTGGCACGAAGAAATCAAACTGGCCAATTGTAATATACAAAACCATACGGATGCGATACCATTACAGGGAAAGCTAGCAGGACCGATTTACTTTGAAACACCTCTACATGTGAACACACCCAAAAGTAACACTTTTGGCATCTTTCCAACACTCGCCTAGCTTTCTAGTGAAGAAATATTGAAACCACTCATTATCAAAAAGACCGGCAAGATTCGACTTATTGCTCATTGCGCTCACATGTCGTCTATCTAGAGCTTTCGAACCTACAAATTCGGATGTCATATGTACACGATACTGTGGCCAGCTGCCGTTAATAAAAAGAATAGTTACCCACTCATTCTAGCCAGAAGATGAAATATCCAATACCTTGCCACATGATTGAATTGCTAGCTATTCGAGACTCGATACACAAGTGCCCGAGATCCTGAAAGGCCATGAAATATTGCATTAGACAACTTTTGATGAGAGAAATCGTATTGGATTCATACACGCCCGCAGTATTTATACTGTGCTACGAAGTAGAGAGAAGTATGGGTACCTAGGTGTTCTCTAATACTGCATAAAGAAAAATAATCACCCGATGACGAGCTATTCTCACATATAGTTATTGTAGGTCTCTACTGCCTCTTCTGTCCATACTTAGTAGTCAAAATATCATAAATGTAAATGCGAAGAATCCTGACGGAAACTCACCTTGATTAGATCGAGGAAATCTTTTGAAATCGATACATAATGAGAATTCAAAACGGTGACAATACCAAGTAGATCAGGATGAACGGAGTAGTCTTACAGCTGAGCGAGTCTGAATGACAAGAATCGAATACCTACTGGGAATAATATCTAGCGGCATGGGATTTCAGAAACTGTTTCTCTTATATCGAAATGCAGCCAGACTTCATTTTGTTAAAGAAGTTACCCATCCTTCAACATTATGATGATTAAGAATAGCAATGTGTGATCAATCTTACCAGATTTCATCTTAGATTTTGACGGACGTGTTTCACTTGCCATCACAAACCAGAGGCTCAAATGATAAAGCTGCCCCCCTTCCTTCATACTTGTAAGAATTCTCACATTACTCAATCGCAAATAAGACTCAGAATTATACAACAAAACTCAAAATCGATGGAAATCCTTCATCAGAGGGTATCTTATTCGCTGTCATCGCTACTACTATCCGCGCTCTCCTCGTCCTCCTCATTTATTTCAATTTCTTCATCCTCTGCCCCTTCAGGAGTTGGTAACATAACAAACGCTTTCAAACATGTAACGCGATTTCCGGTCTCGTATGTACCAATTAGTTTTCCGACCTGGTTTACTTTCTCTCCAACTTGCGCCAAATCCTTGGCTGCAGATAACTTGTATAGTCTGACAGCGCCATCACTGCTTGCTGCCACAATCAGAATGTCTCTGGAAGAACCTTCTCCAATGTTCAAGACGGCGAAATCCTTGATACGTCCAGTCACTCCGCTGTCTTTGCCACCAAGTTGTGCGAATAGCTTAGCGGCGGGTATTGGCTGTGTTTTGCCTTCGGCAGCTTTTGCACTCTCTAAGTCTCCAGTATTTGTGGAATAGAACAGGATTCTTCCATCCTCCGTGGAGACAGCCAAGACCTGAGAATCTTCGTCGTCTCCCACTTGCACGTAAGACAGTTGATGGATTTTGGACCTTGGTGTTGGTACGATCTTGCACCTAACCTTACAGTCCATCCCGAAAACCAATATTCCTTTCTCGAACCCTACGCAAAACTCCTCTCCGCCCTCTTTCGTATTACCCCATGCGACTCTCCTTCCCTCTCCACTACTGAATCTCCCTTCCCCGACCTCGACTAACATATCTCTCTCGAAATTCAACACACCCGCCTTCTTTCCTGTGACCAAATTCCACAATCTCATAGACTTTTCTCCCTTTCCGACACTGAGCATGAGTTTCATACTTGGATGCACGGCGAAATCGTTAACTCCACTTGGTTGTCCCCCAAGCGGAGCCGTATCACCACTGGGTCTACCCACGGCTTTCGGTATCGGCGCCTTAATAGTACTCAATAGACTCCAATCTCTTGTCCTCGTAACAGCAATTGTCGAATCTTCCGCAGAGCTCATCAGCTTACTTCGAGTGGGAAAATAAAGGGCGGTGATTGAGGAAGCATGATGAAGTAGTGAGCCAAGTTCGCGATTTTGTGGATTCTCCACAACGGCCTTGGCTGTAAGAGATGGAATTACAGGAACTGATATCTTGGATGGAGGGTGTGCGGAGATGTGGTAAAGATTTATGCGCTCGTCAGTACTGCCGGTTGCGAGAATGATTTTTTGTGACTGTTTGGGGACTGGAGCAGAGGGAGGAGAGAGTGCTAAAGTTCGAATAGCAGAGGTATGCGCATTAAAGAGAAAGGTATCTGCGAATTGGACGTCATCGTCAGAGCGAATTGTTGTGGTGATACCATGAAGGACTCGGTCGTAAGATCCAGTAATGATTTGAATAGTAGTAGGCTTGGAGGAATTGGCCTTCGGTGTTGCAGTTTGCTTCAATTTCTTCGTTGGTACTGATGGTGCTACGACAGCAGGCGCCGAATCAGTAGTATTTCTCTTTCTCTTTGCCATTTTGTGATTTGAGTTGTTTTTTTGTTAGGTTGATGAGAAGTCAGCTTTCGAGAAAAAAGCTCTTGGGAACTTTTGAGAGTTAAAATTATTGCAGGGATTTACCACATGGGAATTACATCTTGCAGGCCGCTTTTAAAAGAGAGCATGCCGCTTTAATATAGCCACAGTCACCTGACAATGAATCCTCAGTACTTTTACCATCCTAACTCTTCGATATTTTGAGAGGAACGAAAAACACATGCGTCCCAAGCGTTCGACGTTACTTTGAACTCTCGGTGCTGTCCATGTGTTCTTTAGCCTGTTGAGCTCCAGTGCATACACTCGAAGACAGTTGCAACCGATGCAAATTATGATCAAACAACAAGCAAAGTCTCTCCAATTCGATCGTGTGAAAGTTCACCCATATCGAATGATGATCAAGGAGTGAAAGGGCAACATGAAATTGTATCAAGCATAAGCAAATAACTTTCTTGCTTTTTCTAGTTTTGACAGCTAACAAGTGTTTGGTAAGTAAAGGTGTTTTTCTTACAGATTGCCATCTGCAATTGACAACTGGACTTCGTTGGCTTTACACCTTTACATGCTGGGCAAAGAACAACGATTCAGGTACACAAGCTTTCATGTTCAGTTTATTTTACATATATACCCACAGACATCTTCTTGAAGCATCGCACAAACTGGCCATGTCTTCTCAAATTCAAATAAAGCACCGTATCTTCAATGTTTGTCGGTACTCATATTTTACCTTGATCAAAGAAACCTGCAGGCAACAATGGCTGTCAACTTCTCAGATCCGAGCACGTAGTCCTGTTCCGCACGATGCAATGACCGATCAAGATCTTATAGAAGTATACTCATTCTGTGATGGCTGACCATTACTCTCATATACTGGTGGGCCGACCAGCCATTTCAAAGTAATACTCATGTGCTGCACCGTTTATTTTGCTGGAAATCTACATCAACTTTCTGGATGTTCTATATGAGTGCTCTTGGAAATATCTCACTAATATCACTGCTCTTCTTGCCTCCCTCATATACCCACAGAGGCATTACATGTTTCAAATATCGGTAAAGGTCTTTTCAGTATGTCAGGCGAATGCTCAAACGTGCCTAATTCATAATAGAATCCAAACTCTATAATCGCATCTTCTTTCAGCCCCAATACGTTTCACTGCGTATCTAAAACCTACAACATACAACAATCTACCGAGAGCTTTAGATGGAAGATCGCGGAATTCTTGTACCAAGTCTATTCTTGAGTTTCTTGCTGACTTGTTTCTCGACAAAGATATTAGATGCTGCACGTCAATAATAGTTATTTAATACATCGGTTCTGTGCCACAGAATCTCAATAATGGAGAAAAGCATTTGCCGCTGTGACTATGTTTCTTGCTAGCCAGCCTCTGCAGAGAGATATAAATCCGTGTATTCAATCGGCTCACATAAAACATACATTGAAACACTGACATTCTGATTTTGAACAATAAATTCAACATACATGTTAATCTTAGAAAATCCGGAGATCAATAACAAGTCGAGAGCTTTGGAACATATCTCTTTGATAGGCATGCAAACTCGAATTCAAATAATGATTATCAGATTTGGTATCGAATACTGAAAAAAGATGAGAGATCATGTGCTGTTGCTGTTCTGATCTTTCCGTCCTGTCGGAGCCACAAATTTTATTGCGTGCTGGGTATCTAGCCATCAAATCCATTTTTGATGTCGATCAATCCAGCCCATTGTTTAACATACATCCACGTGCACATCGTAGTATTGACAAAAGATTTTGCTTCAAGTCGTAAGTTTGTGAAAGCTATAGAAGAGGGTTTTATATCAAAAGACAATCTCGAAAGTACATCTCTCAACTCACTTACTGCGAACACTGGAAATATAGCAAGAAATCAAAAACAATCTCAGTGGTCTGGAGGGACCCGATCAGAGAGGCGACAGAGCGTCGAGTTCCTGCCGTCTCACTTGAAACCATATGCACGTTGGAGAAGAAAAAGGAAAAAAAAAAACATGAGGCTGCCAATCGTTATCAGTGACATCATCATCACTACCTAATTTTCCTCTCAGCATTATAGGTTACAAGAAGATATTCAAATTCCATACCTTATCATTTTCCCAATCAAAAATGTGCCATTGAGTGGTGGTGATGAATGAATGAATTTGAGCGACCCATTCCAATGAGGGGAACTTCGTTGCACGACAATGGACAACCACCCGTCATGACACTTGAGCCTATGATAAACGCATGAATTATTAAAACAAATCGAATCACTTGTGTCCTGTCATGTAACGAGGGGAAAAAGACATTTTATGCAAGGAATTTACCCCAGATAAAGTTTAGTCCAGTAGATCAACCTAGAATTAAGTCCCGTGCCTCCAGCCCGACCTCCGACCTATCTCTTGGCAAATATTTCATCTTAGACATGTGAAATATTAATGAGTGAGCGAAATGAATATCTACCTATGACTTTGCTGCATAATCCTCCTGTCTTCTTCATTACAAAACATACATATCTTCTCTCTTGCCCACCTAGTACTTCGAAAGTGCCTCTCATACATCTCATTTATTTATATCTCTCCTTTGTCAATTGTTGACCCTGAGAAGCTTAATTGGGGTATACCAAGTAATGCATGCACATTTGAGGTTCTCGTAACACATCGACAGGTAATTCTCCCAAACCTGGTAATTGCCCTTCCCATCTTCAAAGACATGTCAATCAGACGTCAGTCAATGTTGTACACGAAGATGGATATTAGGCCACCGATTAATAGTATATATTACATCTTGTTAACTGAAAGCAGCTCCTACTCATTACACCTGATAGATCTCGGGAAGATTGTATTTTCGACTGCTACCCGCCTCAGTATTATTACGAAAACAAAATCCCAATGGCTGCCCCCCATATCTATCGCCCCAAGCCGCGTCGGCCTTTCGAGGCACATTCTCTTACCCTCCAAACTCCAAGTCCTTCTTTTACCCCTTCATCCGAGTTCATTGAAGCACCAAGCCGCACTCATTCCGTTCTCGATTTGACATCGTCTACTCTGGGAGGAATATATGAGGCGACTGGTCATGGTGACTTTGAACCCGAGACGCCGTCCACACCTTGGGGAACAGGCGCAGAAAGTCCCCGACGAGCACGCAGCCCTCCAGTCTATCGAAGACAATCTTTTGCCGACGCTCCTACCTCAACGTCGGCTACTATATATTCCCGGATTTTCCGGTCTGTGCTATTATTTGGTTTAGGACTGTTGTACGGTTTACTTGTTAGGCATCTACATGATGACCGACATCTAGCACCACTTCAAGTCGAGACAATTATAAAACCCAGCCACGATTGGAAATATCTTGTATTTTGGGGAATAGCTGGGGTAGGATTAGGAAGTTTGTTACCACTGTTCGACAAATTCTGGGAGGAAAAGGTGCAATTACCCTTTGAATCCTCTACTGGTAATCCTTCGGGAGAAGCAATCGATGCCAGAAATTCGCAGGGTATCCTTGGAGGGGATTGGATACTAGCAGTCAGAAGCGTGGGCGCTTTTATGGGAATTGCTTTTGCTATTGTTCGTCCTATTTTCAGTCTTTGTGTTCAATTTCACTAACCATTTTCTAAGCGCAAACTACCTTGGGCATCCGATATGCAAGCTTCCTTAACCCTTGCCCTTGTGAACCCAGTCTTGTGGTATCTTATTGACCGCTCCAAACCTGGACTCGCATTTTCAGCCGCCGTTGGGGCTACTGGAAGTGTACTTCTCCTAGCCTCGAACTCAGACTTGATGCCCAGCCCGGCCGCTTCCATGAAGAACAATACTGCATCTCATCAACCGGTTGGTTACTCAGAAGCTAAATCCGAGAAACTAGTTACAAGGGGCAACCTCGAGGCTGGAATATGGATTGCTAGTGTTCTCTTTTGTAGCTGTGTTTGTTTTGGAAATATTGGACGAAGGCTAGCGCTCAACAGCGACAGAAGAAAGACCTCGTTTTTGAGCGAACAATCGAGAAGGAAGTCAATGGGACATGTGCAAGCTGCAAGACAATTGCGATAATGCAACCAAGCAATAATTTCATTGGTCAATACCTGGATATGTAGAGACTGGAAACAATTGGCAAGCATTATGAAATGAGCTTTCGGCTCTTTCCTACTTTTTCACAGTGTCTTCATTCGAGAAAAGAACATTGTTTTACGTACTCAAGGAATACTAAGTAGCGCTTATTATTTGGCAATATTAAAGAGCATTGGGACAATGATCTAGTCCAACTCGATTTGCAGCACAAGGCTGTAAATCGATTTCGATTAAGCCGCCGCCAAAATTGCAGTGTTGAGGTAAAGAGCCACTACATCGAATGAGACCCAGAATTTGAGTTTGGAATGGAAGGGAAAGAATCCAGCATATGGCTTCTCGAAACAGAATGCCAACAACAGTACTTGATGAGGAAAGAAGCATGGCCCTTAGCTTGATTCGGTGTTCAGTTTTTGAAGAAGGAAAGATATACAGTACCTGATAGGTAACACCCAGCGATGATTTTCGGCATGTTAAGTTTTGGGATAGCAGGCGTTAAGGAGGAGTGGAAAAGACGACATCCGCAAAAACACGCATGTAAGGAACAAGGAAATTCCAAATACTTATTTATTAGTAATACCAAATGATTCTTGTTCCAATGATAGCTGTTCTTGACTATCTAGGTAGGTGTTGACTTCAATCTCTCCTATGCACTCATGTCGATTGGTTACTAAACCAATGTGAGAATTTAGCTACCCAGGTACACCTGTATATGTATCGTATTGTTGTTACAGTCATTAAATGACTGCTCATACAATCCAAAATTATTTTTATATGGCTGACTTCACATTCTCAAGACCCTCACCTCACCTCGGTTACGATGCAACACAAAGATATCCACGAAACATTTTGTTAACACCTGAACATATAACTTTAAAAAATCTAACGGCTTCCCCCAATAATACCAGAACGAAAGACTTGATCAT